GGCCTGCCTAATGGGTCACACACTAACACCTTATTGTCATGACAATATACCATTAAGGGTATTGGGCCTAATAATGGTTATTAGCTCAAGAAGAAGTTTGGAAGCCCACCAAAAGGGAAAAAGGGTGCATGGTTAGTTAATGGGCTTGGATGGTCCAAGACATTACTAATTAACTTAATTAGTTAAATTAATTATCAAATGTTTATATTTTGAATTTTGATTTTGAATTTTGAATTTTGAATTTGAATTTTGAATTTGAAATGTGAATTTGAATTTGGAATTTGAATTTAAAATTTAAATATTTGAACTTTTGAATTCAAAAGTTTGAATTCGAATTTGAATAGGCTATGAAAATTTGTTTCATAACAAAAGGATAAGATAAGATCTTGTTGGAACAAATCCCAAATATCAAGAGGAGATCTTTGAGAATCTTCTAGTGAGGATATGAGGCGCTGATTTTGGCATCTAATGATGGTCATAGGATCAACCAAATGAGCTCCAGTCAGATTTGGTTTGTTGAGAGAATAAGTGAGACAGTTGGTTCAAGTTTGAATGCATCTGCTCAACGTATCTGGACTGTTATAAGGCCAAGTGGGGCGCACCATATGGCTGGCCATATGATGGTTGTTGAGTCAGATTCTTGTTGAGATATTCACTTGATATCATGAGGATGTGAGAGGAGGTTGTTGACAAGATTTGAATTTTGCAACAACTCCACTCCTCTCCCCTAGTGCGCTACATAGGGCTTTATTTAAGTGAAGAAAATCTGATTTTAATTAATCAATTCTCTCATCTCCTTGTGGGTTCCTTTTGTCAAGTTTTTCTTAAGAGAGTTTTGAATTAACCTAGCCTTTTTCAAAGTAAAACCTTGCGCCACTTTTGTGTCTATTCTTGTTGAATATTCACTCTTCTAAACACCTTGACCTAGCCTCCTCCTTCACACATTGGGCGCATAGCTTGCCTCCATTGGTGTTTTCGTTGGTGGCCTTGAAGAAGAGTTCTTCCGTCTTGACAAAGGGTGGTGTGGATCAACATTAGAGGGCTTGCATCTTCAAGCCTCATCTTGATCATCCTCAAGTTTTGGAAAGCAAACAAGGTAACATCCATGCCCTAAAGCATGTTTCTTGATATGGTATGTGTTATTCCGCTCGAAAAATTTTGTTTTTCCCTCTCACATGCCTCGACCTTCAAAGTCAGTTTCTTTCAGGATATCTCACATGATAGGAATGTCATGTTCCAGCACCCTGGAATGATTGAAAGCTCGCGAAAATAGTATGTGGGTGATGACAGAGTGTAATATACGAGCCTCAACACTAAGCAACCCCACCGTGTAATGAATGGTCTGCCCACATCTAATATCAGGCCTCCTTGCCTCCTCCATAACATCTCCTGGGGGATATCCAGGAAGTGATGCATCGCTATCTGCGTCATACTCCGCAGTCTGCGAAGCATCAAAGTCATAGCCCAGTATCTCCAACCATACCGGAGCCGTCATGATGATGTCCACACCACAAACCCTCGACCTCAACTCACCCTGTATGTAGCTGAGGTTATGGTAGAAGGCCCTCACCATCACCTCTGCATACGGACACAATATCTCAGCCAACACCCTCAGATGTGCTGCCTTCAACACCGCTAGAATCTGAAATCCCTCCACCATAAAGAATGCTGTATCTAATGATTTTGGAGGACATAAGGGTCTGTTGACATGGTCACGTACAAATGCAGCGTGAACCGAGGGGTCATCCTCAAATAGGTATCCAAATGGGAGGTTGACGTTATCAGGCTCTTCGTCTTGTGACCTTGAGGAAGAAGGCCGGTCTTGTTATTGCTTCGTGCGTCTCTCACCGTCTGCATTGCTTGGTCTTCGTCGGCCGACCATTGTAACAGAATACCTACAATGACAAAATAATTAATCAAAACTCAGATAACTCAATGGCAAACAACATACATGTTAAAACAAAACCAACACTGCCCTAACTCAATGGTAAACAAAATAAAACCAGCAGATCGAATTGTTAAAACAACAAACCAACACTGCCCTAAAAAGAAATAAAAAACTATAAAATATGTCATGGGCAGGAAGGGAATCACCTTTCATTCTAAAAAAAATTGTTAGGTGCATGTAAACCCTAATAGCAACCATACCAAAACATTGAATGCGTTCAACAACAAAGGACCATGAAATACAATTCATATTTACCAAGGAATGAAGACATAGCATCTCAGAATGAGTTAAAAAAAAATTAATCGATTAAAAAAACCCAAATCCGAAAATCCCTCACCGTGGAGGATGAACAAGTTTGAAGCAGCCTTGGGGACGCATTCCACGCTCTTTGGAACGACTTCAAGAGCTTTTTCTCAGACCTGGGGTCGCTTTCTGAACACCTTAATCGATTAGGGTTTCAAATAACCTCCTATGCCAAATGGGGGGAGGGGGTTTAAAAACGTTCTAGACGACATTTAATCGATTAAATAATACATTTAATCGATTAAATGTCCCAAAATTTAATCAATTAAGAGGGATTTTTAATCAATTAAATTTCGGGTCAACCTTTTTCTTGTATTTTGACCGTTTAATCGATTAAATCTTCATGTTAATCGAATAAGAGGGGCATGTTGGTGGATAGTTCTGCGTGAGGGGAAAATTGGTTAATTAATATGGGGCAAAAGGATAAAAAAACCGGAGACGCCAATCAAAAGGTAAAATGCTACTTGTTTTCTGCAAATTCTGAAATGATTATAATATTATCATGACAAATTATTAATGATAAAAGGTGATAATTATTGAGTCAAATTACATAATACTAATTGTATATTATTATAAACATTTTTTAACGTAATTTATAGTTAATATCTCATTTAAAGAATAATTGACAAAATAAAATTTAAAAATTAAGGGGAGTGTATTGGATTAGGATTTTAAACGACTTTTTTGAGATAAAATATCCTACAGATTTTAAAAGAAATTTTAGAATTTAAGAGACTTTAAAGACTTTTTTAAAAGATTTTTTTTACAATCAAGATTTCATAAGATTGGATTTTAAAGGATTTTAATAGAATTTATAAGATTTGAAAGGACAATATGGATTTATAAGATTTTAAAAAACCATATGAATTTTTAACCAACATTCAAAATTACAAGAGTCAATACAAAAGGGAAAGATTATACTTACACCCTATTTTTGTTTACAATATTTTATAACCATATCTTAACCGTTGATTTTCGTCAATCAACAGTTATCATTCATTGCAAATTAAATATTAATTAATGAGTTTGATTTGTAAAAACAATAACCATTGATTGACGAAAATCAACCGCTGAGATATGGTTGTAAAAGATTGTAAACAAAAATAGGTTGTAAGTATAATCTTTCCCATAAAAAATAACAAAGAAATGCAATGAAATTAATAAAAAAAGTAAAAACTAATATAATTTTCTCAATCAATAAAAAATAATATAATTTTTAACAAACATTCAAAATTACTAAATAACAGCTTTTCACATATCTAATGGGTTGAAAATTATCTTCTTCACTTGGTATGAAAACTATGCATATATGATTATAAGACCCAATTTTTTTTAATTATAAAAATAATTCTAAATTTGCATATAGAACCTAAAGTTCATGATAAAATTTCGTCTGGAATTTTTTGCAATTGATCTTGAAAACCTTGGGTTTTTTGGAATTTTCTAACCATATGAATCTGAAATTTTGGGTTTAATTACATGAAAATTTAGAAAATTTATCAATTTTTTTTCAATCGATACATTGAAACCTTAAATTGCTTTGGGGCTTTTGAGAAATAAGCTTTTAGTTATCTATTGACACAAAAATTGTTTGAAATCATTTTTTATAGTGAAGAAATTTCGTTCATGAATGTATTGTTACGAAATATATGGTTCATATTATGAAAATTTCAATATTTCCTTAAATTGATATTGTTTCATTGATGTAAAACAAAAATTGGTTTGAGTATTTTAGTTCCCATGTTATTTTTCGCTGTTTTTTTGTTATTTTTAATACAAAAATCACATATTTTTGTGCCAAGAAAACCCGCGACCCATAGTTTGAAAAATCGCTTTTTAAACTTTCAAAATTTCTAAAAAATGGCTCAAAAATATGTTATTTTTGAGATAGATTATATTAAAATATCGTTAGTTTTTTGTTTCTGATTTGTTTTGTGATGAAAATCGTTCAAAAATATGCTATTTTTGAGTTTTGACGAAGCTCCCTTGGCAGAACCCAATTTCGAGCAATTAACCTGCTAAAGGAAGAAGAAAACATTGCAATAGAAGAATCTCAAGAAATCCTAGGGATTGGGGTGAGATTGTGAGAGAGACATCCTATTTATATTTTTCACTAAAAAGTCTCACGAAATCCAATCCAATAGAAAATCCATTAAAATCGTCGGATTTTCGAATACCACGAGATTGTGATTCCATTGTTTAAAATCCTGATTGAATACCAACGGATTTGGACGGATTCTAAAATAATCCTTTAAAATCCTAATCGAATACCATGTGACTTTTTTTCAATCAATTAAAATCCTAATCGAATACCAACGAATTTTTTTGTTAAAAAACAATCCTTTAAAATCCTTTGAAATCTCAATCTAATACACTCCCCTAACCATACAATTTAAATATTAAACTAATAATCCTCAGCTTCTAAAATAAGTGGAAAAATAAATACTTTTTTATTTTAATATTATTAATTTATAATATAAATACTTCTTAAATTTGTGTTCAGATATAAAATGACATTTTTTTTTCTTTAGGAAAAGTTACATAAAAAATATTTTATTAAAAAAGCATATTTTTTGTACAAACGAGCCACAAGTATGTCAGTATGTGAAAGATCTGGGTCGTCTACTAAAGTGTAACCCTTAAATGAACGGAGAAGATCGTCCCAATAGCTTACGTGTAGTTGCGTACACAAACACAAAGAAAGGTTCTGTGGATTCAAAGGAATTAACGAATCTGTGTGTGTCTGTCATCCATTCAGTGTCGGAGCAGTGTGTGGTCGTATGGAATGTGTCCCCCTTCATTCCTGCAGCAAAATTTTCGTGGTACCAAACATAGGTTTAGCAAAAATTAAGGATTTTTCGATCACTTTCTCACTTATTCCCTTCTGAGGTACCTAATTTTTTTTTAATTTTCTTGTTTTATGAGTTGTTTAAGTGTTTATTTCTGTGCTGGATGAAGATTCAATGTAGTATAAGATCCTTGTATATTAAATTGCTTATTTCTCTTTTGTTTTTATGTGATGTGAGTGATTCTTTCATTTTGTATTTTTTTTTTTTATCGTTTGCCCTTTTCTCTTTTTGGGTTTATTTGAAAATTTAATTTCTGCTTTAGCCCTTTTTCTGTTGTTGGCTTTCCGGATTTCTTGTTTCTGGTACTGTGTTGGTGTTCCTCTGTATATTGATTTTGTCTGAATGTGATGTTTTTAATTTGAATCTTTGGTTTTTCAATTAAGAGCTGGTAAATTATTATGTTTTGGAAATGGAACGGCTTTGCTGGTAAATTGTTATGAATGTATTCACTTTGCTTGATTGTTATGTTGAATAATTTGTCTCTACATCTTTTGGGTTCTTTTAAGCTTTCTGATTGTGAAAGAGTGCCAGCCATGTGATATGAGGATTCCTCAGAAGTCAGAACTTACGCTTAATGCATTGCATTGCTATGTATGTGGCAACTTGCTTTTAGTAGGTTGTATGCTCAAAAATGTTTAAATAAATACCAAGATGTACTAAATGAATAATTAAACAATAAACAATACTGCAAACATAATGGCTCCAGGGAGATAATACAACTGTTGCTCATTATTTATATAGGATTTACTTATAATGTTTTTTTTGGACAATACTTATATTTTCTCTATACCTATTGTCTTCCCTGTGTCAGATATGGAGATTTTAGCCCTAGTTTTCTTGAATATTCGAAACAGCCAATATGGTTCCTTTTTCCTTTCCAAAAATCTCCGAGTCTATTTCATACACTACACACGATCACACGCATGTTGGATAAACTTTAAGCATTAGTTGATATAGTTTTAGCATCTTTATTTGTGTAACTCTACACAATCTCGTTCTCTCTCTGTGTGTGTGTTTGCGATGTGGTTTATCTCTCTTAGTCTCTTATGTTTTCGGAACTTATGCACACATCTATGGTAGTGTTTTCTTTACCTTTTGATTGATCACTTGAGGAAATGTCTGTGCAAATGGATGCTGTGCTTTTGGTCAAAAGCTTATGCCTATTTGAATAAATCCATTATTCCAATTCATCAATACATTTTCTTGGTGTGTGCTGACAGATGACTTAGAATGATGATGTTCTTGAACATATTCATCTTGGAAGCTTGATGTGCTTGATTTTGATTTGAATTTGAAGTGGTTTTAATGGGGAATATACTGAGTCTGAACAGTTCCAAGACTAGATGGAATGATCCCTGTGAGGTTTTGCAAGGTGAAGCTTGCAAGAGACGGAGGCTGTCATCAAGCTCTTGCGAGGACAACTCAAGACTGATTCCGGCCCTTCCTGATGAGATATCAATTCAGATTCTAGCTAGAGTTCCTCGGGTTTATTATTTAAATCTAAAGTTTGTTTGTCATGCTTGGAAGGCAGCCCTTGTGAGTTCTGAACTATTTTTTGTGAGAAAAGAGCTAGGAACCACGGAGGAGTGGCTGTACATATTAACAAAGGTCAACGAGGATAAACTTTTATGGTATGCCTTGGACCCTCTTTCCAGAAGATGGCAAAGGTTGCCACCAATGCCAAAAGTTGGCTTTGAAGATGAAACAAAGAAGGGTTTGGCTGCCTTTCCCCTTCGGATGTGGAGCATGATGGGTTCAAGTGTCAGAATTGCTGATTTCGTAATGAGCTGGCTTGGGAGAAGAGACGCCCTGGACCGGATGCCATTTTGCGGTTGCTCCATAGGAGCTGTTGATGGTTGCATCTATGCATTAGGAGGATTTTCAAGAGCTTCAGCATTGAAATCTGTTTGGCTGTATGATCCCGTTAAAAACTCTTGGACTGAGGCTAGTCCAATGTCAGTTGGTAGAGCCTATTGCAAGACAGGCATGTTAAATAATAAGCTTTATGTTGTTGGAGGGGTTACTAGGGCTCGTGGTGGACTAACCCCTCTTCAATCTGCAGAAGTATATGATCCACATACAAGCATATGGTCCCAATTACCTAGCATGCCTTTTGCAAAAGCTCAAGTGTTGCCAACTGCTTTTTTGTCTGACTTACTCAAGCCTATTGCCACGGGAATGACTTCATACAAGGGAAGGTTATTTGTTCCTCAGAGTTTGTATTGCTGGCCATTTTTTGTTGATGTTGGGGGTGAAGTTTATGATCCAAATACAAATTCATGGCTTGAAATGCCGATTGGAATGGGTGAAGGTTGGCCAGCAAGACAAGCTGGAACAAAATTGAGTGTTATTGTCAATGATGATCTATATTCACTTGATCCTTCAAATTCTCTTGACAGTGCAAAGATCAAAGTATATGATCATGAAGGTGATACTTGGAAAGTTGCTACTGGAGATGTTCCTATTCGTTATTTCACTGATTCGGAATCTCCTTATCTTTTGGCTGGTTTACTTGGAAAGCTTCATATTATAACTAAAAATGCCAATCACGACATTACAGTGTTACAAGCTGACATGCAAAATGATTTAGTTTTCTCCCAATCCATGTTGTCATCACCAGATAACTCATTCAGTGAACATGCTGAATCTTCAGCAGAAACACAGGGAGAATTTTGGAGGGTTCTTGCAACTAGGAGTGGTAGATATGTTGAATTAGTTAGCTGTCTGTCCCTTAAAATATAATTTTTCTTTTTGAGGGAGGGTCCTCTTATGGTTTTGATTCCTGAATATATCTGTGTTGATTGGCACGCTTGCTAATAAGCCACAATAGTAGGGAAGATTTTAAAATTGTAAATGATTTCATTTACAAATTGATTCATAAAATGTAAGCATTCCAAGCTACTCTACTACGCCCCAAAAAAATATTACACGGTAGCAAGAGCATCATTCATTAAAGACGCTGTATATCAAATCTGAATGTTTTTCGAATCCTCCTTTTCAAATTATTTGAGTATATCATAGTTTTGTAGCATTTGGTCACTAGGTGATTTCTTTACTGAGAGGTGAAGTTGTTGGCAGAAGCAACCTCAAGACTCATTGCGAGCCATTGACACATACGAATTGGAGAAATAGGATCATCTACATATTCTTGTGGATCAAAAAATGGGCACCGCCACAGGACAGGATTAATAATAAAATCATCCAATGAAAGCAACTATCAGTCTCTATTAGTGTTAATCCCAATAAAAATAGAATGATTCAAGTATCATAATTCATACGTTAAAAATAAAGGACAGGGAGAAGAATAGAAGGAGATAAAAGAGAGGAACAATCCTTTTCTCAAATAACATTATTTAGTTTGTTTAAATATTATGATTTTTTGTTTCTGTTTCCGGTCTTTAGTTTTGATAGGAGGAATAAATAAAGGGGTAGAATCTTTTGACGCCGGTGTCAAGTTTCAAGTTTGACACCTGATCTGAGAGCTGTTAGATAAAAAAAGATCAATGATGTCATATGTTTACGAATCAGAGTCGTTAATCTTTTTTTATCTAATGGCTCTCAAATGAGTCGTTGATCCTACCCCATAAATAAATATAGGGAAATATGATTTTCATGTTGTATAAGATAATTTTATTTCATGCAATACATAAAAAGTGGATGTTATCCATTTTTTTTTCTTTCTCTCTCTTCTTCGTGGGTTTCATCTATTTTTTGTATATTGCATGAGACAAATTATGTTATGTAACATGATAAACATATTCCCCATAAATATATCATGGTTGTTAAAACTTTATTTCGGTGCATAAAAACTTATACTGTTTAAGCTTTTATAATTGAAAAAATGCCTTGGATGTAAGGTGCACAATTTTTAAAAGCAGTATGGTTTATGCTTTAAAACTAATTTCGATTTTAGATCATGCTTTTACATTTGAAATGTAAATGAGCTAAATTATAAACAAATTTCGAGTTTTTTATAATTTAATCTTCACTTATATGTCTTTCTCGTTTTAAATTTTAAATTTATGCAAGTTTTGATTCATTCGTCCTTCATTCCCCACATATCCGTCCGTCTAGTTCTCAATCTTCGAGTGCTAATGATGATAATAAAAGACTTAGAAATCGCATTTGACTAACTATAGCTAATGAACAATTTTTAAGTTGTTGGTGTTAGCCTTGGGCTATTTGACCATTTTACCCCTAATTAATTAATTAATAATTATTTTGCCCCTGATTCAAAACTATCTACTAATCTGCCCCTCTTTAATCGACTACCTTGTATTTTTAATCGACTAAATAGTTGTTGAGAGATTTAATCGACTAAATCTCCCTACTTAATCGATTAAAAAATCATACTGACTTGTTTTCCTTTGTTGTCTGTTGGGAGATTTAGTCGACTAAATAGGAAGATTTAGTCGATTAAATCTCCCAACAGCCATTTTTGCCTGTTTTGGTCATTTAGTCGATTAAAAATGCAAGATAGTCGATTAAAGAGGGGCAGATTGGTAGATAGTTTCGAATCAGGGGCAAAATGATTATTAATTAATTAATAAGGGGCAAAAGGGTAAAAAAGCCGTTAGCGTTGTTATATACTTATATGGAAAAAAGTGTATCATTTTAAAAGATGTAAAGTTGTGTCATTTTAAATGAGAGAAATAGATAGATAAAGTAGGAGAGAGAATAGACAAAAAAATATAAAGATGTGGATCTCACCTCTTTGTAAGAGTGAAATGATATAAGTTGTATCATTTAAAAAGACAAACACTTTTTCTTATTTATATTGGTGGCTATTGTTTATGAATTTACCCGTTCACTACCATAATACCTTATAGAGTATAATCATTTTGCTAGCACAAACTTTACAGATGGTATTATACTTGTGCCAAAAATATTCTCTTCGTATAACTCTTTTATATATTAATATTCGTTATGAAATATTTAAATTTGTATACAATATTTACATATCAATACTTATATACACATGCATTACTGTAATATGAAATGTAACATTTGTATTTTTACACTTGCATGGATGCATCCTTTGTTGAGAAAATTCTCCTTTCTATTTTTTTTTTCAGAGTTATATGAATTATAAAAACTGAGAAGAAAGTGAAATTAAGATGAAAATTGAAAATTGAAAAGGGAAAGTGGCTTTGGACCTGGGCAAAAGCACCATATTGCTAATATTAAGCAAAATATCACGAGTTCAAAGCACATATGGAATGTTTTGCTAAAGTAGAGCAGTCAGTCCCGTCACCTTACTTGACGCATTCAGTCCCGTCAATATTGGTGACGGGACTTGTTTCCACGTTAGCAATCTGCACCAATTTCATGCCACGTGTCAAATATTCATTGACAATAATGGGTGATGTGGCGTTAGCTTTTTTAGTCCCGTCAACTATTGTGACAAGACTCAACGAACATTTGACATGTGGGACGAAATTGCAGATTGCTGACGTGGAAACAAGTCCCGTCAAGTAAGATGACAAGACTGAATACGTCAGGTAAGATGACGGGACTGACTACTCTACTTTGGCAAAACATTTCACATGTGCTTTGAACAGGAGATATTTTTCCTTAATATTAGCAATACGGTGCTTTTACCTTTGGACCTGGGACTGTCTCTGTCCCCACAAAAGAGACGGCGTGTGTCAGAGTGCAAGTTTGAGTTTTGACAGAAAAGCAATATCATCAAAGTGCAAGTTTGAGTTCTAATTTTAAATACTGTCTCTTAGCACTAAGCTGCACAACCATAATATTATAGTAATGGTACAACCAAGAGATATCATTCAGATTGGAATCCTCGTACGAGGAAACAGAGGAGTGAAGGCTCAGCGGTAACATTTTGCTTTATTTATGTAAGGTCGCAAAATTTGAGTTTACCTTTTGTAAATCATATACACAAATCAGTAGTATATGTATATAGCTTTCAAACAGAAAGTGCTGCGTCAGGCAGGATTGTGTAGAATGTTCAAAGATCATCTAGGACCTGGTAGTTTTTCTGGTGACATACTTGAAGTTGAGTCTAATATCAAATTACCAGCGTGGTGATACGGATATTGGTAGAAATACTTGCGGATGATCTCCTCTTCCAGCCGTTGATTCCGTTTTAATGCCATGCGGATGATCTCCTCTTTCTGCCATTGATCCCATTTTTCTGCCAAACCATCACCCTCTAACATTCTCACCACCTCAGACATCTTGGGCCTTTCCAAAGGGGAGCCTTGTGTGCATAGCAATGCCACTTGGATTAGCTGTTCTACCTCTTCCTCATCATAATTTCCCTTTAAATCTGGATCCACCACAGTCTCCAATCTCTTGTCTATCAGAAGTCCTTTAACCTGGGCTCAAAATAATGGCTCAGATTTTTCTGATCATAATAAAATGCGACATTGAGAGGATCCCATTTCCAAATATTTATACGACAATAAATAACATCAAACAATTGCTAATGGCATATTTTTCATAAACTGAATACCTACCCAATCAAGCAACATGAAATCATCATCATTGGCAAGTCGTGCTAGATCAAAAGCCCTCTGTCCAGTTATTATTTCAAGAAGCGTAACACCATATCCATAAACGTCAGTCTTCTCTGAAGGCTTTCCAGTTGAGAGGTACTCTGGTGCTATATGCCCAATGGTACCAAGTACAGCAGTGGTAACATGAGTATCTGTGTAATCCATAAGCTTTGCTATACCAAAATCTCCAACAACTGCTTCAAATTCCTCATCCAACAATATATTAGCAGCTTTGACATCACGATGAATAATCTTTGGTTTACAATGATCGTGCAAATACGCAAGCCCCCTAGCAGCTCCTAGGGCAATACGCTTCCGTATTGACCACTCAAGTGGTGGTTGTGATTGCGGACGATCTACAACAACGTAATCGATATACATAAACACGTTTCAAAATTTTACAGTGATGACATTTTTAATATGAACACATGTTTTAATAAAAGCTATGCATTTCTTCACAATAATCCAAAACAACTTCAAAAGACTAATAAGGATACCTCGTAAACAAGATGCTACACTTCCATTAACCATGAAGGGAAATACAAGCAACCGCTCAGTAGGTGTCATGCAGAAACCACGCAGCCGAAGCAAATTTCGATGCACAGCCATGCTGATCATTTTCACTTCAGTTTGGAATTGTAGCTCCCCACTTTGGGTGTGTATCTCTTTAAGTCTTTTTACTGCTACAAGAGTACCATCTGCCAAGCGTGCTTTATAAACTTTGCCAAATCCACCACTGCCTAGAATGTTTTTGTTATTAAAATTATCTGTTGCAAATTGCAGTTCACGCAGTGAAAACTTTTTAAGCTGACCAAGGTGAACTTCAGGATCCTCCTCAACTGCCAGTAAAAGACACACAAATGTAGGAAAATCACTAATGGTTATCATATTCAGCTTTAATCAGTATGTATACCATCTTTTCTGGTAGTCAACTAACCGGGAACATCAATGAAATAATCCTTTGGCTTTCTTCTAAGCCAATAAACAAGTGCAATTGCAAGGGCTGGAAACAACAGAACAGCACCCACCGCAACTCCTCCAGCAATAGTCCCAGTGGCACTACTACCTACATGGATTAAAAGAATTAAATGGTTGTTAAGATATATAAAACCATTAAAAAGCCCTTACCCACTAGTTTAAGCTTTTGGGTTGAATTGGTTCTTTACATGGTATCAGAGCCTCATGTCCCGGGTTCGATCCTCGCCGCCCCTCACTTTCTTTCAAGTGGAATTTTTTTGTTCGCACAGGTAGGTGGGCCTGTGCATTCTACACCCTTCAAGCCCTATGGGCTCTCGTGTGAGGGGGCATGTTGAGATATATAAAACCATTAAAAAGCCCTCACCCACTAACTTAAGCTTCTGGGTTGAATTGGTTTTTTACAATGGTAAAGTATAACTCTATTATTAATTCCCTCTCTTGAATTTGACCATCCACCTGAAGAAGCTATACATTTATGAATGCGGAAGAAGCT